ATATATTTATTTATGTCAAGTTTAACTACTAGCATACTATTTTACTATAATAGTTTCCTATGTATTATTATTGTTGCTGTATATTATTATCTCAATATTTATTTGTTATCTTGTTTTTGCTTAGCCCTAATGAAGACCTGAAACTTAGGCCAAAATATCGGCAGAAAGGAAATACAAATAAATATAATTAATTTATTTTTCTTTTGTATTTTCATTGACTGTAGGATAAATGCACCAGTAGTTGACATGTTAAAGGAAATTTATTTGAACTTTTATGTGTAAAAACTTAAGAATTTATCTAAATTTTGAAAAATTGAAATTTAAGAGAATAGTTTTGTAGTACCAGTTGCTGACACTGTTTGATTTGAAATGTTACTATAGCTGATAAAGATGAGGAAAATGATGTAATTAAGGGAAATTTCATATTCTACATTTTAAGATTAACAAAAATTACCTGAAGTTATTATAAAATTAACTTCTTGCGTTTCACAACTTAAATTTATCAATAAATGCTGGTCACTGTCAAGAACCTGTTTTTAGCAATAGGAGAACCTATTGTTGCTATATATTTAATCCAAAATTGTTTTTTAAGGAGACAGTAGTGAATTGTCATATTTTAAGACCCATTATGTATTGAGTATACCTCTTTGAATTTATCAGAGTACAGGACAGTCAACTACTGGCAAAAGTCTCCATTAAATATCCAATTCATTCATCAAGATAAGTTAGAAACCCATAAAACATAATTTCAACAAGCAAAATAACCGCACCTCAGTAGAACTTCATTGGTTACGATATTGCCTCTGATATTTGAAGTTAGCTTATTTTTTTTTTTTTTTTTTTTAATTTGTAAATATGGTGTGAATGTGCTCTCAGAACTCTATTATAAATGTCCTTTATAGAGACAGATTGTAATATTTATCAATGGACAAATAAAAAAAAAAAACATAATTTAAAAACACTCGAAAAAACAATAAAACAAAAATTTTGGGATAAATCCGAGTAGATAAACAGAAAAAGGCAAGCCTAAGGTATGATGCTCTTACTGACTGATGGTTGTTCCTGGGACACTAAGTGAACCGTGAAGGACCTTCTTAATTTGGCACTCATTGTTTCGGTTGAGACTTCCGGCAAGAATAAAGCAAAGCCGACAAATATATAAGGAGAAAATATAAGAAACAAAAAATATATAAAATAGCGGTCTAGGAGGTTCTAAAATTTTATTATTCTTATTTTTCGAGAAAGATGTCAGGTATTGGTGCTTCAACCCTAAACCCCGATCAATATATCATACAAAGTCAACAATTATCCACTATCAAAAATTAATATCAATTTTAAAATATATTTAAAATTTTTATATTTATTTTCTAATAGAGTTGAATTATTCGCAATAAATCGTTGAACTAGTGCATGTAATAGTTCAGACGTGCATGTTCAAATAAATCTTGTAGTGGTCGCTTCTGGTAGTAGTAAACTGATATAATTTACCACAATTTCTAGAGAAAGATTTAGATAAAAAAAAAAGTTAATCGTGTAAACCAGCCTTAATAAATAATATAGCAATGGTCCTTGAACAATGATTGAGTAACATAATTACTAATTGTTGCGTTGGAAATGAGACAGTTTTTCTCCTTGAAGCCTTCGGGCGTGGGAAACATCCTCTAAGGAAATGATAATGCTAGCTGACTCATTATTTGGCCTTGGCAATAACAAACATTAATGTTTTCTATTATTCAACTAGGTATTAAAGTTTAACAATAAAATATATTATTTAAATCCAAAAGAGATTTTCCCAATTATAATATAGCATTCTTCTCAATATAAAGTACATAAAATATATTATTTATTAAATCTAAATAAGATTTTCTCTATAATAATATAGCATTCTTCTCAATATAAAGTACATAAATCAACTAAAAATAATCATGATATGCCTTTTCCACAAAACAATATTTAAAAAAAATAAACTCTCGGACAAAATAAACACAATACCTCAAAATTTCTATGTTTATAAAAAATATTATCTAATATTTAAGTAGGGTGAATGTACCAGTTATGGACAGGGGGCCCAGTTATGGACAGATTGGACTTTAAATGTAAACAGTAAGCTTCATTGTTGATTTAAAGATTCCAGTTTTTTCTAGATTGAAGAACAATGCCCTCTATTGACAACTGTATGAATAAAGTTTTAAAAAAGGTGTATTTCATACCTTTCTACTAACAGCTTTGCTAAGAGTAAGTTGAACAATTATGTTATCTTATCTTTATAATTAAATAAAAATTTTGAATTTTTCTAATGTATGTCCATTACTCGTACTGACCTCCTGCCAATTACTAGAACAATTGAAGTTCAGTGTGTCCGTCACTGGTGCAAAAAGGTTTTTTTTTTTTTAAATGGAGATTATACCTGAATACATAACTGAATCTTTTTTCCATTTTAAAGTGTTAAATAGAAAAAGGAGACCTTAGAGATTCTAAATGTCCAACGGAGAAGTTTATAACTACAATAATTATGGCGGCATAAGTCAAAAATTTCCCTAGCTATGTCTATCACTGGTGCACTAACCCTAATTTAAAAAAAAAAATGTAAAATTAATAAACATAATATTTTCCAAATCCTACAACCAAACAGCAATAGCTCCAGCTAAAGAACACACAAATTATTTTTTCAAACCAACCAACTTTAGCATTTTCAGTGCTGAACTTTTTGCAATCTTAAAAGCAATTAATTATTGTCGATATACATATTCAAACACTATTATAGTTAATTTCACAGACTCAGCCTCCTTTTGTAGACTGTCACTGAAAGCAGTCCATAACAAAAACACGACAACGTATTTAACATTTTAAATAACCAATAATATAATATCATGCAATACCCATTGCAAATTTCCATGGATACCAAGCCACCTATGATTGTTTGGAAATGAGGCTGGTGACAGAGCTGCAGGGACGAGACAAACATTGAAAAAGAACAGCAAGGTATCCATGAAGGATCTCTTAAGATTGCTGAAGAAAGAAGCAGGATCGGTACAATTGGGAGTCATAAACAAAAGGGAGAGACCATTATCAGATACCGCCATCTGTGAGCCTTTTTCTACAGTTTGCTCTGAATCTGTGACTCAAGCAACAAAATATATTAGAGATTTTAAGAATGTGGACAAACCATGGTTGCATTAATAAATATCTTAGTCTTGTGGGAATTGAAAAAGATGAAAGTATGAAGTATGTAAAGAGCCAGAAAACCCACAGCACATACTGTTTAGAAGCAGCAAATTTATTTATAAACATTTTGGACTCTTCGACCACCTGGGTCATTTCCGCACCATATTACAATTAGAATAACTACTGATTAGACATAAATAACAAAACTACAGTTAACAAATACAATTTACAGTTTATGAAGTTAAAAAATAATTACATTTGAATTTAGTGGTACAATTGAATTAATGTTATAAACATTAAAAGTTAAAGATTAAAACAAGATAAGTTAAAAAAGATAATTATAACAAAAGTTAATGATTTCAAGATTAAAAAATAAATATACAATTTAAAAACAAAAAATTAATGTTAAAAGAAAAAAACTTAAAAAGTACAATTTAAATATTAAAAATTTCTAGAAGAAAAGTTGGAAAAACCATTAAAATTAAAAGAAGAAAATTCAATAGGTATATTTACAATTAGAAGAAAAATCTACAAACTTAATAACTTAACAGGTATATTTAAAATAACAAGAAGAACAGTTTAGAGGGTCAATTTAAATTTAAATGTTATAATCACAGAAAAAAGAGTTGACATATACGGTTTAAGTTAAAAATACAAATTCAATGGTGTTGAAAATAATTTTTAAATTACAATAAGTTTATAAATTAGTTAGTAAAATTATACAATGATACAGGTATATTTTTTTATGTGTTTATAAAAATATAAATTTATTTGCTCTTGATTAAATTTTGTGAAATATTTTGATTTCCTTAAGAAACAATATTAGGTTTTTTATAGCATTGGGGTCCATTTGGAGTGATTCTTCAAGTCTATTTCTGAAAAGATGTTAGCCCTTAAGAGATTGGAATGGATAACATTCGGTCAAGAAATGGCTCACTGTGAGAGGTATCCTTCAGGAGACGTATTGAGTTTGAGAAGCAGGAAATCAAAGAGAAAATATGAAAATTGGGGGAAGAGGCAACATTTAAAAAAAAACTTGGATAGACTAAAGATTAAGAATATTGGAACGATTTTTAAAAATACACAATATCGAATTCACTTTAGTTGGAAATTTAAAGAAATCTGGAAATGTATACATATTTCTTTAAAATTCTATATTGATCAGAATATATTGACGTATTTACATATTATTCATCATTTAAATACTCAGGCATTTTATATTGTCAGATTCGGCTTTCTTTTTTCTTTGAAGAAACAAAGAGATTATTTTAAAGAAGAACCTAATGTATTTTTTATTTGTTTTTTTCCTTAAAACTATATATTCATAATGTTTTACCACTGCTCTGTACATAGTTTTAAGTGTCTTGTCACAGTTTTAAATGTTTCGTATATAGGTTTATTTGTTTTGTATATAGCATGTTTAACTAATGTTTTCTTTACTTTTTATTTTTTGTTGTTTTTTTATTTAGGCCAGATTTAATCTTATGATTTTTTTATTCTAAAAGGACGTTGTCAAACAATAAAGTTATTTTCTATCTATATATTTAAGTATATGCTACAAAGTCTATTAAAATTAACTTAATATCCCGTGCTATTCCCTACTGCATGAGTTGTGAAAATCATATGACTTCATATACCCTTAAACCTACTGCTGTGTTGTTCCACTTTTCAGTAAATGCTTTTTTTTTCTAACTTTTCAAGTAAACAGGGAATGAAATTCTGGTATACATGGAGCTTGAACCATACCCAAACATGATTTATCAAATAGAGTATAAATTTTTTACTAGCAATATCCTAGATATACTTAATAATACTCTACATGAAGCAATTGGCCGATGTGGATGACACATAGAGGTATCCCACATATCTCTAAATATTTAGGAACATGCTCCATAAAACCACTGATTCTGAAGAAATACCACCCTAAGAAATGCTTGAGTCTCATTAGAATAAAAACTGTGGAATCATACAGCATGGAGCATATTGTCTACGTAGACGTATACAAATTAAAATAAGGTTTCTGATGTTCCATGGCCCCGTTGCCATCTCATTAGTAACAAGAACAAACATCCAGGCCTCTAAACTCTAATGGATGTATTATGAGTAAATTTAAGTTGGTTTTGTTAACAAGCTCTGGTGACCACACACGGGAATTTTGGAATTTAGATTAGTTTCTATAAGTAAGCTTCATCTTCAGGATCCCAAGGGACACCCCTGCCTCCCATCTTTATGAAAATTTAGAGTGACTTTATCCTCCTCCTACTGTCATAAGTTCAATGTTATCCAATCCTACTGTCCGTAATAAATCTCCGAGCTCCTTCAATTTAACTCCTCGGTTCATTCCCGCAATACCTGCTCTAGGTCTTCAGATATACTAACACCCAACAATTCGCAGCATTCGATAGATCTTTTATTATCCGATCCTTGTCTCTATGAAATTCTACCCACTCCTAGTTTTGTCATTCCAATACCCTACCCACATTTAAATCGTGCCTATTCAATCACTTCCTACCCATGCAGTCCATAACAATAGTGACCAGCTTTTTCTGTAAATATGTATATAAATTATTAGTTTGTTTTTAAGTATTTTTTTTAATTTTTAATTCATTAATGTTAGAAGTTAACTTATAATTTTTTAACATTACTATTTGTTTAAATAGGCAATACAAGTAATTAATAATATGAATATATAATTGAAGGATGTTAGTCGACTGTTATACAAATCATAGGTGATGAATAATCAGGACGCAGTCATTTTCAAGGTTTTTATGGGTGCCATTTTAAGATTTTTATTTGGTACCAATAAAAACCTTAAAAAGAACTGCGTCTTGATTATTTATCACCTATAATGTAAATATTACATCACAGCGGACGCACACAATCTCCTCGGCGCAAGGAACTGGAGAGCTGCAGCAACAGACAGAGTCAACTGTCAGAAACTTTTGGAGGAGGCGTAGAGCCGTTAACAGATTGTTGCGTCAACAATGTATGTATGTATGTATGTATGTATAATGTAAATATAGTTTTAAAGGTTAAATAAAGTTTTAAAGCCCACAATTGTATTATTAAATATTATTCTAAAGGGGCTAGTTCCAGAATAAATTAAGAATATTATTATTCCCAATGAAAATTGATACCTTTAAATACCTTTAAATTTGACTTAATATGTATGTGGGTTAATTTCTGGTCTCAATACGATTTTTAAGGCCTGAATGGGAATAAACCTACTATCCATTTGGTTAATAAACCCTAATCGATTTTGATCTAACCTTTTAAAATATTAATCTATCTCGTTAAAGCATCATAGAGTCTAATGATGTTTTTTATGTGTACAACAGACAGATACTGACATTAAATAGTTTTTTTATTTTTCCAATAATTAAAAGTACATTATCTAAAAAACTGTATGTGTGTAGATAGAATTGTTTGAACTTAATGGAAAAATAAATAGAATGTTTATATAAAAATAAAAAATACCATACATGCCAAGATAAGTGGAAGAGAGCCTCGGAGGAAGAGAGGACGAGGAGGACTCGAACATGCGGCAGAGCTGGCGCACAGAAAGGTGAGAGGAAGCCTTGCACGCCTCCGACAGGTTCCCGAGGGAGCCTCCGTGTCCAGAGCCACTTCTACTCCTCTCTTCCCAAATCTTCTTCCTCTCTCTCACTGGCATGTAAGCAGTAGTACATGTTTTCACCCGACTCTCATCTGTCCTGCCAAACCTACGTAAATGGAAAAAAAAAAAAGTATAATATACATGTAAACCAAAAAAAAAAAAAAAAAAAAAATAAATAAGTTTCAATTTAATATAAATACAAAATGTCAATAGATAATATTAGAGAGAAGAAATTACTTGGGCCTGCAGGTGTCGGCGACGATGTCAGGCAGGCAGCCGGACTGTGGGGACAGGCAGCCCTCGCTCTGGGCCCGGCGCAGCGTCCCCGTGATCCCGAGGATGTCGAGGTAGGGGAGGCAGGTGAGGGGGGTCTGCCTCAGCAGCTCCGCGGCCAGGCACTTCACCCAGCGCCAGTAGTCCTCCTCTCTTTCCGCCTAACAGCAGTTTTCAAATTTATTTTATCTATTCATTTAAATTATTTATACTAAAATGTATTTTAATAAATATAAGAGAGTTAAAGAAGAATCCAAGGGGGAGGTATGTATCATGATTTGATACATTTGTTTTTTCTAAACTATATTAGAGTAAACGCACCACTTATGGACAGGAGGCCCAGTTATGGGCAGGTTGGACTTTAAATGTAAATAACAAGCTTCCTTGTTGATTGAAAGGTTCCATTTTTTCTAGATTGAAGAACAATGCCCTCTATTGACAACTGTACGACCAAAGTTCCCAAAAGAAAATTTTAAAATGCCTATCATTATTGTTTCTATAGTGCTCTTGAGATCAGTGTGTTTCATACCTTCCTACTAACAGTTTTGCTAAGAGTAAGTTGAACATTTATGTCATTTTATCTATATTGTTATCTTTATTATTAAATAAATTTTACTTCAGAAATTTGAAAATGTTTCTGAGGTATGCCTATTACTGGTACCGACCCTCTGTCCATCGCTAGATCAATAGAATTTTGGGGTGTACATCACAAGTGCAAAAAGGTGTTGTTTTTTTTAATGTAGATTACGCCTGCATAACTGAATATTTTTTTCAATTATAAAGTGTTAAATAGAAGAAGGAGACCCTAAATATTCTATATGTCCAGATAAGTTTATAATTATAAGAATTACAGTGGCATAAGACAAAACAATCCTTAGCTAAGTCCATCAATGGCGCTTACCTTATATATAAGAGATATTCAGAAATAATTAATAAAACAATATATAATTCAAAGTTAAGAAATATAACGTATCTAGCTATGCTTATTTGATAGAATCAAACAATTAAACTAGTTACTTCCACCTCTACTCTACAGCCCTACCCCATGAGGTCCCTTTTGAACTATTTCCCTCCATCGTTTTCCATTTTGTGTCACTTTTTACCACTTCCTCGCTTCTCATCAGTTTCTTGGTCTTTCTCTTCTCTCTCTGCATTCAACGCTCCCAGTTACAGCTATCAATGTAACTCTTGTCCGACATCCACTGGATCAATTGTTTCAGCTTTTATGAAGATGGCAATATTCTCGTTGCCAATACTATCAATCCAAAAGTGAGTGATATGTTATTTTTACCGCAAACAGTAAAATTGAGTTCCGACGTATTATTTAAAGACATAGAGAGAAATATGTCACAACTATTTCTTTCTTTTTAAGAGGGAGGAGGGGACGGACAACATATTAGTTTATTTTTTAATTTATTTCTGAACTCCCTTGGGATCATTCATCATCACATATATGGTAATTAGGGATTGATTATCGTTATTTATTTATTTGTTCAATTTTAATATTATTTAAGTGACCATATCTTTTTCTCTATGTTCATAGGACTATGTTACTTGCTGTGTGTGCGTTATAATTTTCTGGTGTTAAAACTTTAGCATTAGAATACTATATTTTTTTTTTTGCCCTAACAATTTTATAAATTGTCTTGTATCGGTTTCACCGAAATGTGTATATATAATATATTGTATAATTGTAGTTGTATGTATTAGTATATTATAGTATTTATATTGTTTGTGCTGTGTAGTATGAAAAGGAATTTGTATATAATTTGTATGTCAAAAAAAAAAGGATTGATGAAAAGGAGTATGCTGTGTATCGAGCAGCCCTATATAATAGGGCAGCACTGCTTTAAATAAAGTATTTCTCTCTCTTCAATAAATGAAAAAAAATTTAAAATATGTAGAACAAAATTTGGCAAAACTATAGAAAAAAAAATACAACATATTTACACAGTGAAGAAATACTTTCATTTTCTTCAACTCATTTTTGGATTTGAACTTTTGAGAATGTCGATACTTGACAACAATAACTTTCTTTTCTGTTTAAATGCAATAACACAATCAAAAAATCAACATAATCAAACATAATCAAAAAAATAACAAAGTTCCTTAACTTTAACGGAACTGGTAGGGTTAGCACACCAGTGATGGACATAGCTAAGGAAGTTTTTGTATTTTTTGGCTTATCGCCAAATATCATAAATATTATAGATTATATAAAGATAAGATATTTGTTAAACTTACCCTTAGCAAAACCGTTAGTAGGAAGGTATGAAACACACTGATCTCAGGAGCACTACAGAAATAACAATGAAAGACATTTTAAAATTTTCTTTTGGGAACTTCAATCATACAGTTGTCAATAGAGGGCATTGCTCTTCAATACGGGAAAAACTGTAACCTTTCAATCAACATGGAAGCTTATTATTTACATTTAAAGTCCAACTTGCCTGTCACTAGATCCCTGTCCATAACTGGTGGGTTCACTGTTTTTACTGTTTTAAATTTTAGTAAATCGCTTTTGCACGATTTTTGCAGTTTCTTTTAGGTTATCAAATTTCCTATTTTATTTTTATTTTCAAACTAATGGAGGTGACATCTCCCCCACCCCTCGAATCCTATCTTAAAGAAGACCTCACTACCTAAGGAGTACCATAGAATATTTTTATCTTTATGAAAATTAAACTTCATTATTGATGAAATCTATAAATGTACCTAAATAAAATCTGCACTTATAATATATATGAAAAATGAAATAGGAATAGTACTTACCCGAAAGACTAGAGAGTACTCCTGGCCTATGAGCTTGAAGGTGAGCCAGCCGGCCGATATGAGGTGCATACCTCGCAGGGCGATCCTCATCGGGGGCCTGTTGGCGCCCTCCAGTTCCAGGTAGCCGCTCTGCACCTTGCAGTACCTTTTGCCTACACCGACAACTTCTAGGGGTCCTGGAACATAAAATGGAAAAATACCGTCAAATTAACATTATAATGAAAGGCCAATGCATAGAGGAATAATGGATGCCTAGTTATTGCCGAAAAACAGTCAGGTGAGGGTCACTGCAAAACTGAATTACCACATCTTCAAATTCAGGTTAACAAAGTCATTAGTGGGACAGGTTTACAAGGCTTAAGCCTAGATTATTTGGAATAGATAGATTGAAAGACCAGAAGAACTGTCTTGTCGATCCAACTGTCTTAGCAAGCACAGTCAG